CACCCATGATGATGTTCTGCATTGCGCTTGGATTCTGGTACGGCAGCACTCTTCTTGGCAAAGGCGGAGTACAGCATGTTTCAATTCTTTGTTGTTTTCATGGAGATTACGTTTGGCGCACAGTCTGCAGGAACCGTTTTCTCTTTTGCACCCGACATGGGCAAGGCCAAGTCTGCCGCCACGGAATTCAAGAGGCTCTTCGAGAGAAAGCCAGTTATCGACACTTGGTCGACGGATGGTGAGGTGTTAGAGACTGTTGAGGGCACTATCGAGTTCCGTGATGTGCATTTCAGATATCCCACCCGGCCCGAACAGCCTATCCTTCGCGGCCTAAACCTGACCGTGAAGCCCGGCCAGTATGTCGCGTTGGTGGGCGCTAGCGGCTGTGGCAAGAGTACCACAATTGCCCTCCTCGAACGTTTTTACGACCCACTAGCCGGCGGCGTGTATATGGATGGAAAGGAAATTACGAGGTTGAATGTCAGCTCGTATCGAAGTTTCTTGTCCCTCGTCAGCCAGGAACCCACGCTCTATCAAGGATCGATCCGCGATAATATCCTTCTTGGCGTCGATGTTGACGACGTGCCCGAGGAACAAATCATCCAGGCTTGTAAATCTGCCAATATCTATGATTTCATCATCTCTCTCCCGTAAGTGTTGTTGCTAGATCAAAATCGCTCCCCCCCCCCCATCCCACCTCCAAAGATTTTAACACTCTCCCTTAACTCCAACTCCCATGCTAACAATAAAAAAAACAAACACAGTGACGGCTTCTCCACCATCGTCGGCAGCAAAGGCAGCATGTTATCCGGCGGCCAAAAGCAGCGCATCGCCATCGCCCGCGCCCTCATCCGCGATCCCAAAGTCCTCCTCCTCGACGAAGCCACCTCAGCCCTCGACTCAGAGTCCGAGAAGGTCGTGCAGGCCGCGCTGGACGCAGCAGCGAAGGGCCGCACCACCATCGCCGTCGCCCACCGTCTCAGCACTATCCAGAAGGCCGATGTTATCTACGTCATCGACCAGGGACGCGTTGTGGAAAGCGGCACGCATAATGAGCTGTTGGGGAATAAGGGACGGTATTTCGAGTTGGTTAGTTTGCAGAGTTTGGGAAAGACCCATTAACCCTTTTTTGGAGGGGAATGAAGTGGGTAGGGTATTTTAGATGGGATGTGCGGAACTCTCTTGGAGCCCCGTCATCTATTTTATTTTATTATTTTTATTTCTTTCGGTGCATAATTTTGCATGGTTCCCCTTTTCCCTCCCTGGGAGAAAGGCATTCCTTCCCTCCCCCTCGTCTCAAAACAGGTTTCAATTGAGTTACTTGTTTTTTTATCATCTTACCAGTCACATTTTGTGTATGCTCTCTTTTCTCCACATTGTTTTGATGGTGAAACTTTCGCCAGACATATCCCTCCCAGTTCCCCGTGGCCCGTGAGCCAGTGGCCGGCCGTTCATCATAACATATATGACTACCCATTATAGGGAAAATATGTGTTTTTCATTTATTTTCATTTATTTTATTTCTTTTGTTACAACTACTATATACCCCTTCATACCATCCATACGTGCCTTCTCCACTCCCCGCGCACTTGTTTCGTCCTTGCATACCAGGCCAACAAAACCTCTCCACTATATTCTTCTTTCCTTGCTTGCTTGATTTAGCGATGTGTTATATTATTATTACAATTTTTTTTTTTTTTTTTTTTTTTTTTTTTTTTTTTTTTAAAATTTATTCCCTTGCGGTTTATGGTATTTGGTTTTTTTCTTCTTTTTTTTTTCTACTTTTTTTTTTCTTTTAAATCTCCTTACCAGATACTCCTAATATGTTTAGCGAGCTAGCTACCTGATTGATGTATATAGAAATGGGTCTGAAAAAAGCTTCATTATATATTTAAATATATATATTTATATATATGTATCTATATGTCTATATGTCTAACTATACGCGTCTGTTGCCTTTGTTATTCGTTATTGTTTTCTTTGGTTTAATCTTGACGTTATGTAGCATTACCGAATAGCAATCTTCACTGGTACCCTCACTCTTATGTAGAATTCTTCAGTCAGGAACTAATCGTGCCGCGCGCACCCACACCTGATGTGGGTGCGCCACACCGTAACGATAAAAACAGGGTAATGATAAAAATATGAATAATATGAATTTTAAAAATCAATATCTTAACATTGTGTAATTAATTTATAATAATTAATTTATCTATATCATTTGTAATAACAGTATTATTCATTAAATGTTTATATATATCATTAACCTTTTGTTGAGTTGATTCTCTGGCATTTTTTTTCAAATCTTTTTCAATATATTTGATTTTTTTATAACATTGTTTTTCAGCCTTTTTCTTCTTACATTGCATGATCTTTCTATTTGCATTCTTCACAGTGAGTATATTTTCTACGTGAATCTGTTGATGTGTATTTTTGATGCTACGGTGTTTGATTGCAAGATAGTAACTTTCAATTTCATTCTCTTTTATAGCATTGAAGTTCATCTGTATAAGACTGTCTTGAAAAACCTTGTGCAATCAATTGCTCAGATGAGATGATTTGAAATTGAATATATTCTTCATATTTTGCATTGTTTTTTTTTTATTACTCAAATATGACATTGTAGCTTCTCAATTGTCTTTGAAAAGAATAATTATGAGAAGAAAGTAATTGAACAGTTTGATTGAAAAGAAAAAGAGTCATTTTCTTCATATATTCACAACTCAGAGCAATCAGAAATCTTAGAATCTTATGGCGTACGGCGTTCAATTGGTAGGATAATTCTTGTCTGAGTTTCCCTAATCTAGAAGGGTGGGCGAACGCCCCTATATATATACGTAGTCATCCCGTCAGCGATCCAAACCAGAGGAAGGAGCGATCGCAGCATACGGGAAGAATAGGAGGAATAATAATGCAGGGGCGGAAGGAGCAGGGCGGAAGGGAGACTAGGGGCGGAACGCCACAAATCTAATTTATTAAATATAAATTATAAATTGAAAGAAATGATATCACAATTCATGAAATCAATTCAAATAATGAAGAATTGAAAGATTTTTTTACAAACATCAATTAAATTTTATAGAAACTGATGTTTTTCATATTGTTCATATTCATATCAAATGATTTGATTAACTGTTTTTAAATGATAATGTTTATACTGCTGAAATGACATTCCATCTAGCAGTTGTAGTATATGAGTTGAATGTGAAGGAAATTCATACAGAATAATCTTGTGAAGATTGCAATATTGCAGAAATTCTTCAGTAAGATGAGATTTATGATTGTTAAAAAACAGCAATTGATAATTACTTTATTGATATTTTTTAATAACTTTATTAAAATGCTGAATTCAAGTAAAGTCAATCTTATCATTGATATACTCAATATCTGCCATCATGATTGTATATTTATTTGATAGATTGTTTTATATATATCAATCTTTGAAATGAGTTTTGAATTTTATAATGATGAAGAGATTCAATATCTCATCATCTGCTGAAATACACTCAATCACAGTGATCAATTTTCAAAAATATGATGAAGTTATAATTGAATTCAAATCTTTAAAAATAGTAATAATTCATTCTTCACATTTTTAATTTTTTTGAAAGCCAATCTCATCAAAGTTGTAGATATCACAGATTTGAAATGTGTATTTTTAAAATAAAATTTTCAAATAATTAAATCATATTTTGATGTAGTTAATATTTTCTACAGCAATTCTTTTCAGATTCATTGTTTTCTGCTTCATTTTTTTATATTCATTCAAGTTTTTTATATATTGGTAGATTCACATCTTGGTGATCACAGATGAAGAAGTTGAAGAATTAATATGACGATTTTTGAAAATGAGATTTACATTATTTTGAATCTGTTTTGCAATCAGTAAGCAATTATTTCTGTTTATATAAATTATTCACTCTTTCAACACATCCTTCTGACTCTTGCTAAGCTTTTTGTTCAGTGCAATCTTTTCATTGCATGTTTTTCTTCCATTGATTCTCACTTAAAGACATTGATAAGAAATGTTGAATTTGCATGTCAGAGGTAGGATTTTTTGTTTTTGATTGTCATTATAGACTTCAATGACATTCTGAATACATTTTTCAATATCATCCATCTTATTGGTCATGGTGGTGATGATATATTAATATTTGAAGATTGATTAATGAAGAAGTTGATATTTTTATCATTACCCTGTTTTTATCGTTACGGTGTGGCGCACCCACATCAGGTGTGGGTGCGCGCGGCACGATTAGAGAGTAACCGAACATAAGGGTAGGCTAGTGAGGTGAAGGCTGTCATAGTCTCAGACTGCATATGGCCTTAGAAAAAATATGAAGAACAACAACACCATGTTTCTGGTTCTGGGATTAGTAAGTAAGTATCTTGTTAGCTAGGAGATATGGACAGTTTACTCCGTATTTAACCAGTTAACCAGTTAACTAGTTAATGGGAATGCGTTGACTTCTACGGAGTACATCCCCCCCCCTCCCTCTCCCTGCTTTGTTTTTTTCTTTTTTTTTTTCCCTACTACGATTGATTACTATAACCATACTGATACTTTAACAACGCAACGAGGAACGAGGGCTTTGGACCCCGTTCGACGAAAAGTAAGAAAGAAATTACGCAGCGTAGAACCAAACCAACCATCAAACCTGGCGCCTTGAAACAAACTCGGGACCCCCATCCCCCCCCATGTCCCATGCTGAACGTCCCCTCCTGAGCATTGGAGATTCCGCAATTTGTCGATTTGGCGATTGGTTCCTAGATTTTTGAACCGAGTTGTGTTGGATTACTAGTTATTGTAATAGAGGAGAGGCATGAGGCATTGTTCGTTTGGCGATAAGGAAGAAAAAAAAATGGGAAGAAAGCAGCTCAGTAACTAAGGTACTTACCTCGCGGTGTTTTGTTTCGAACGTTACGAGCTGAATGAATGAATGAATATATGAATATATGTTGGGAAGTATTCGACCTGGTCAGTAACTTACTGTAGATTTGGTACGAGTCTAACTAAGGAATAATAAGGTTAAGAGATTGAGTTTGGGGATTTTAGGGTTATTTTATTTTAATTTTTTTCCTGTTTGTAGTACTGTACCTGGGTATGCAACTGTACCTTGCTGGCCTGTGCCATACTTAGGTTACCTTCGGAGTTTTTGAATCAGGGGATTCGGCATCGTAACCTTGGAAGGGGGTGGTGGTTGGTCAGGTCCCCTGGTGGTGGTTGGCGAATTGGTATGATAAATTGATTAATTGGTGGGCTGGGGAAAGCCGGAACAGCCGGAACAGCCTTGAGTTTAAACACAAAACAGAAAAGGGTTCGCGGGCTTGTTGGTAATGAATATAACTAGGTGTGGGAATGCTACCGGAGAAGAAGTAAGAAGTAGCTCTATCATCCAGAAGTCGTAACTGTAACTAGTAGAAGCAGTTAGTTAATGATTAGACGGATGATAAATGATGTCACAGGCGAAGGGTGGAGCCCGAACATTCTAGGAGCTGGTTAAGGGTTTAGCTGTCCTAGGCTAGATAGAAGACATACAGATAAGGGGTTAGGGCGGACCCTGGTGATGGTCGTTGGCCTTCCCCCCAGAATAGGGCTGCTTGAGCCAGGCAAACGCCGAGGACTGGCATATGCCAGTTAAATCTAGAGGGGAGCCGCGGAGGGTTCGTCTTCTCCCCTTCTAACAAAAGAGCAGACGCTGGCTGAGACGCTGGCTGGATAAAAACGATGTCACAGCTTCCGCCAAGGGGACGTTTAGAACATGTTCCCCGCGCTACAAGCGGCTGCTGAATTGTTCCATCCAGGGGCCCCCGACTACCAGTATCATTTTCCTATGTATTCAGCTGCGAAACTGCGAAACTGCCCCGGACTTCCCGTAACCGCTGCAGCTAGTCTCCAAACATCTCCTTCTAACATGTATCTGTACTGACTAGTATATATGCCAGCAAAGAATGCTGATGAAACCAACTATCTCCTTGATTGGGGGCGAGGCATATTTAGGATGCATTTTCTGCCAGCGATCCCACTTGACAATGCTTTACTGGCCCATATTGTCAGGTTTGGGATAGTTGCTGGTGAAATCAAGGCGGTTACTTGAAGACAAGAACGGCACAACCCCGGTTCAACCGCAGTTTCAGTCGAGTGGTGATCGAGAGGCATAGTCCCGAGTTACTGGAGAGACCAGACTTGAGTGAATAGCAGCTCATCACCCTTGCAGGCTCCTTGCCATCAAGTCCCATGCGCACTGCGGACTGGGGACTGGGGACTGCTGACTGGGCTATTGGCTGAGGCTGAGGCTGAGGCGTTGGCATGCCTGATCTGCGTAGTGCGCAGGTCTGCCTGGGTGGTTTCGCGTTATGGAGTCCTACAAACCTAAGGATCTATAAATGGCTTTCTCGAAGCACGGGAAAGCGAAGAAAATACGGAGTACCAGTACTCCGTATTCCTTCAGAGTTTGCCGTGCGGTGGTTAAGCGCCGCGGGTCTAATTTTAGCGTACCACCAACGAGGCTCTTCCCCAGCCTCATCGCTATGTTGATATAATGGCACATTTCCCATCTTCGAAATGCACCCCAGGAATTCCCAAGCCTGCATCGCTCGTTTTGACCTTTTGCTTTCCTTTCGTTCTCTGTAGATCCTACCTATTTTCTTCTACCAGTATTCTTCGCTTTATGGCGCCATAGGACACGCGGTTTTCAATGTCTCATCCCCATACCACGCCTGAATATCGGCTTGCCCGTTCAGACTCGAAAAACCCAGCAACGACATGCTGGGGCCTGAGGGCTGACGGGCAGAAGTGCCGTCGGACTGTGGCCTCAGCCATATCATCGCCTTCTGCTCGGGCATCAAAAGGAGCGATTCCGGGCACCGGAGGAATTGGCAATGCCTCCACGGTTGTATTTTGCTGGCAGCACAAGGACCAGGAGGTTCGTGCCCCCCAGGTCTTAACGGAATCGCCTAAGCACCCTGCTTCAAGTCTGAGAGCACGATCCAGTATTGAAACTTTGGTAGAGAGAGTTGGATTGCTGGATGTTGGCGATCAACCCCGCGCCGCTTCGGCGGGGAAGGTGTTTGACTCAGCTTCTGCACACGGAAAGCCTGCCAAAACCTCCCTTGGCTCGAGGCTGCCCCCAGACGGGCATGGCCTCCAGCGCCGTGGAACAAGAAGGCATTCGATGGATTCTCCAGGAGACCGGATGTTCCAGGTGGATAATGCACCCATAAGTCCCGCAGGGCCAAGACCCGGTTTATCCCAGTATTCAACGAAATCAAGGAGAAAGTCCAACGTTGGAGGAAAACTTGTTCGTTTTATTATGGGAATGGGTAAAGATGAAGATATCGTCATTTCGAGAGTGCGACACCCTCGCACGCCTTCAGACTACAAATCACGAACCTCCAATCCATCTGCTCGACCGCCAGCTGTTCATACCCCGCCTCAATCCACAGATACCATTCATGATGGGAGGCATTACCGCGCGTCCCGCGTATCTGATGTTCATGGATTTTCGCCCCTCGCAGTGCCTCAACCGGCAACTCCGGAGCGCCGACCTCGAACCAGCCCACAATATCTATCACCTTCACCAGGTATATTATTACATCAGCCACAGCCAAAACCAGTCCTTCCTCCACTCTGTCAGACACAGAAGCACTTCTATCTTGGATACCAAAGTATCTCTCTCCGATTACCATATCCACCCTTCTAAAGAGCTATGCGAACCCAATATCCAACGCAGAAGAACCAGGATATATATATATGTGCTGGGTAACATCACAAACGCAAGCCGCCTCCCCACCACCAGCGGAGATCGCTTCCTCACTCCTCCTCTCATCGCCCAGCGACGGCATTAGAAGAAGAAACACGGGCGAAATCATGCGTTCCGTTGGCGTTTCTCCAAACAAAGTACATGTCCCGCAACAAAACAGCGCCACAGACACCATCACCCTGAAGATCGGCCGCGCGGCCAACGTCCACCGCCGAATGAATCAGTGGAAGGAGCAGTGCGGGCACAACCTCACTCTTATGCGGTATTATCCGCATGTGGCTTCGTCGCCATCCGTGCATCCGGGGGCATCGATACCGCCTCGCAAGGTACCTCATGCGCATAAAGTAGAGCGGTTGGTGCATCTGGAGCTGGCGGATAGAAGGGTCAAGCTGCAGGAACCTTGCGGTCGCTGTGGAAGGAAGCATAAGGAATGGTTTGAGATTAAGGCCGATAGGGAACAGCTAAGAACGGTCGATGAATGCGTGAGGAGGTGGGTGGAGTGGAGTGAGCAGGTGAAGAGGAAAATGGGCTGATTTGTGGGGTTGGTTATGACTGAGAGTGGAATTTTGGGTAATTATTATCCCCCCCCCCTCTTTTTTTTTTTTTTTTTTTTTTTTACAAACAAAGGAAAGGAACAAAAATCAAGTGGCATTATTATTTCATTATTTGCGTGCTTAGACAGATGCTGATACGAGATTTTCCTAGAGGACATTCATCAGGTAGTCCCCCTGGCAGGATAGATTTTAAGTGGTTAATTTCCCTTTGAAAGCTGGGCCATTTGAGCTTGCTACATGATGACCTACTAAAATTCTGCTTATTAGGCCAAAGAATGCCTTGCTGCTTTTGAGTATAAAATATGAAGTGTCCTTTTGAGGCATTATTGGACGGTCATGACCAGTATTATTAATTTGACTACTCAACAAACGATAACTGCAAGCTTGCGAGAAAAGGCAAAGCGTCTGGAAATGTGGCAAGCATATTGGTTCTACATGTACGACATGGCGAATGGACGGTGTGGGAAACTTTGAATTCGTAGAGAATTTCAAGTGAATTTCCTACACATTACTCCTAGCGAAACAACCTTGGAAACTCCTTGGGCAAAGGGGCGTCGCCAACCATTTTCCTACCCGCCTTCCTATAGAAGTGGATTTATATAACGTGCGGACTCGAACGGGTTTAGAACTCCACTCCTAGCTTCCTACCCACGCAGCAAGCACGGGGCTCCAGATGAAGCAGCCTAAAGAGGCCGTATAAGGCGCAACTGCCCAAATGACGATGTCCCAATAGGGTCCTCCAGTCGCTCGAATAAGGCCGCCCGCAATCGGAACACCCGTGAGCGTGCCAAACGAAACGACCGTATAGCAGGTTGTGTAGGGCCTTCCAAAATCGTTTAGGTGGCAGAGCTGGCCGACACATCCTGGAGTCAATGATATGTTAGAGGAGGACGCAAAGCCAAAAATGAGAGCGTATACGATGGAAAGCGCCTTGGTGATGATTGCGGAGAAGGACGGTGGGGGGGAGAGGAAGCATCTGTGGTCAGAATTGATGCTGGGAGCCATAAGATTACAGTCACTGCCGTGCAAAGCACAAGCGCGGCAATCATGCTGTTGAAGCGGTCTAGTTTGTCGGCGATGTACCCAGGCACTGATCGTCCAATGCAGGACCCCGCATTCATTATCGCAATGAGCTGATATGACTTTTCCTGCGTCATGGCGCTGGTGGACAGGGCAAAGGAAGTAAGACAGGTTATCGGAACGAAAAGAGCCCATTCCATGAAATATATCCCCAACGCAAGCGACGGGTACTCCTGGTCGCGGAAGATGTTTATTAGGCTGGGCAGAACCGTCTGTCTAGGTTTTCTGTGGGAACCCCGCGCGAAACCAGGATTACCCTGAGACCACGCATCAGAAGATCGCGACGAAGCCAATGATTCTTGTCGCCCACGTAAATCCAACCCTATAGAACAGCTTCTGTAGAGTTAGCGGGAAGACGATACCACTGAGCGAAACCCCCCGCCGCTGCAATGCCGGTGGCAGTTGCCCGCTTTGGCAGGAAGAAGTGGCTTACTGCTGACAGCGCCGGCGTAACGATCAGAGACGCACCAATACCATCCAGAACTCCCAAACAAGGCATGAAACGCCAGTACGCGGTACACGATCCGAGGAGCAGCGTGCTGCCCCGGAAGCGGGCCCGATTTGGATCCCGCCGAAGAAACCGAGGAAGATGAAGACGCTGAAAATCCATCCGATCGTGCCTTCATCGTACCCTCTGAACTGGTGCTCGCTGATGTACGAATGGAACGTGCCAGCTGTGTTCCTGTGAACATATATGGCATATGGCATCAGTTGATTTTCATGCCCTCAGGGTCCCTTCAGGGTAGTAAATCTCGTCGTTATTTGAACCTCGAGCAGATCAAGCTTCATGCTGATCCTGACTTCCCTCATTTGCACTGGGTTGCAGCACAGCCAGTGGCTGGGCCATTGAACTTTTCTTTAGCTGGGGCATCATCGGACGTCCCCGCTGGCGGACCATTTGAATGTTTCCCCTCTGCTGCGGCATCAGGCCACGCCTGCAATGAGGCCTCATCACCACCTTCGGTTTAGGGCAAAGCGCGAGTCGAAGTGATGACGCGATCTGGCGGATTGGGAGGAGGGACAATGAATTCAGCCGGTGGTGGTACAAACTCCATCGTTCAGGGTAATTTGTGCCTTTACGCTTGGTCGGCTTTTCTAGATCCGTGAAATCAAATGATTTTCTTTGCGAGGCCTGCTTTTGTACTGAAACTGTACTTTCCTGCACTGCACTGTACTAGACGTGACCTTGCGCCAAGAGGAAGGGTGGATGCTACCTAATATCGATCGTTATTTTATTAAGGTCTTGCAGAGCCAGCATCCCATTCAGGGAAGTTAGCAATCGTATAACGGGTCCGGGTCGCGGAGAGTTAAAATTTTTTTTTTTTTTTAGTTTTGTTTTCGGAACGAATTTCTTTGGAAACTACTTACTTATACCTCTGGGAGCTAGCGGCGGTTCAGCCTATATATAGTCCTATATCATAACCATGTGTCATGGAAAACGTCTTTCCTTGGGAGAAGGACGAGGAGGGTGGGGGCAATCACGTAAATAGTGGTAGTTTATCAATCGCCTGCTCTGGCTTGCGCCGTTACGAGACAGTAACCTCAGTTCTGCACATCCAGTCGGGATTCTTTCTGTCTTAGATCATTCCTAGAGAAAATAGTTCTTACGAGTCAGTTAGTTAGTTAGGATTTATATATCTTACATCAACCACGCAGTGTTTTGTCTTAGCAACACCAAAGGAAGAGTCCATCTCAGCATATAAAGATGCACGAACCTGGATGGTTATTTGTCTGGTTAGCCAGCATCCTGAACATGACTGAGAATCCCACCCTAACTACATGTTCTCTCGTATTTGAATGTGGGGGAAAGCAGCACTGGCAAAAGTTATAATTACTAATAACCCCTGCATTGTGCCTTCGGCTGGTGGGGGAACTCCGTCCGTATATGGGGATGGCTGCCACCAACTTGGACCGAGCGTTCCATACCTTCTCACTCATATACGCCATACCAATCCATCCTGAAAGAGCAAAAAGGGGACCGAAAAAGAAAAAGAAAAGAAAAGAAAAGAAAAGAAAAGAAAAGAAAAATAACCCCAGCCAGCAGACAGAGAAAATGGAAGGACGCTGCCAATGCGGTCTAATCCGCTTCACCACCCCTCTGGCCCGCCCTCTAAAAATCTACATCTGCCACTGCACCGAATGCCGTCACCAATCCGCCTCCGCCTTCGGGGTAACGGCCATCTTCCCGAGTTTCGAAATCCCGGATCCAGAAGCACTGCTCCCGTACCCCGCCACTTACTAC